GGGGGGGGGGGGGGGGGGGGGGTCCACAAGAACACACACACACACACACACGCACGCACACACGGGTCTAAACGTCTGTCTGTATGTTCAGGTTGGCGTGCGTGAAGGTTTCGCCTCTGCGATGTGCAAGGCCACTGTGCACATATGGAGGTGTGACCTCGGTGGCAATGCAGCCGCTGCCGAGACTACCGACAGCAGAGGAGAGGTGATCAACTGCGTGTGTGAGACTCTGGAGGCTCTGATAAAGTGAGTGAATGAGTGAGTGAGTGTTCCAAAGGGCTCTCATACGCTCGGCGTGTGCGCCTCACTGCAGGTACGGCGAGGGTGTGATGGACAGCAAGGGCGAAGCTCAGAACAAGATCGCAACACAGATACTACAGGTTCGAGTCAAGTGACATATAGTTGGGTCGATTCTCTCTCTCTCTGCACGTGTGTGTGTGTGTGTGTGAGCAGCTCGATTCTGTCAAGGCGCTGCGTGAGAGGCAGCGCCGAGGCAAGAAGGGCAAACAGAAGAACGTCCTGACAAAGGTTCAGTGGTCCTTCACACAAGCAAAGCGACCAAGCTACTGCAGCATGTGTCTGCCATTCAGTTGTTGGACCTGTTTGATGACATTGAGAGTGCCGAGACCAAGCGCTATGACAAGGTCTTGGCCAGCATCTCCTTCGAAAGCGACCCGCCCCAGCAGTAAGGCGCCAGCAGCGCGTCATCCGGCAAGAACAAGAAGAAGCGGCACAACAGGAAGAACAAGAAGAAAAAGGGCGGCGGAGGGGGCGGGGCGAATGCATCTGCTGCCGTCGATAACGAAACAGGGTGCGTGTGGGGGGGGGGGGCCAACACACGCATACGCTGCTCTCATCTGCTCTGTCTGTTGTCCTATCTGTCAGTTGTGACAATGCCTCCGATGACGACGATGGACTGGACGATGAGCAGCCCTCTGCATCGGCATCTGCGAGCCCTCCCTCTGGCGCCAACCATGGGTGCGCACCACAGACACCAAATCCACCATCACGCTGGTCACTCCTCTCTCTTTGTTGTTGCCTTGGTGCAGGCAGCCGGAGGCGTGTGTGCCGTCAAGCATTGTGGCTGACGACGAGGGCGGCAATGACGGCGGGCCGTTCGTCACCATCACACACAAGAAGAAGAACAAGACCAACAAAAACAAGCCCTCGCCATTCGCAGCTCGCCCACCGCCGTCCTCGAGTGCCGCTGATATGGCGTCTCCCGGCCCTGCTGCCGCCGTGTAAGACACATGCACCGTCCGGCCGGTATGTCTGTCCCCCACGCAATGCACCCGTGCCTGTTCTGCAGAGGCATGGATCGTCACGTGAGTGTGTCGCCATTCGACATGACAACAGCCGCACTGGCCAAAGTCAACCAAAACAGGTGGGCATGACATACCTGCCTGCCGTTGGACTCACGACCATCTGCATGTCCTTCTTTCCTGTTCAGCCTGATGCCCACACTCACACCACCTGGTGGCCATCACAGCAGCCCCCCGGCCTCTCCTACCATGGCCGCTGCTGCTGTTGCTGTGCCTGCTGCTGCTGTGGCTGCGGCATCTGCTGCTGGGGGCGATCATGGCGAGTGGTCTGCCCATGGGTATGGTGATCGTCCCTTCCCTCTGTTCGAGACGGACGAGACACCTGCGGCACACAGCAGGGGCAGCGATCAGCTGCCGATGGGGTCGTCGGCCGACCGACAGGGCAACCACACAGACACCGCTGCTAAGGAGTAAGCCAATCAATCAAGGGAGCGGTGTGTTATCAGCGCATTATTGACGGTGTGGCTGCTCTCTGTGCAGGTCCTGTGTGGGGCCGTCGCCTGCTGAGTGTGAGCTGCGGCGTGAGCGGGAGGCGTGGCGGAGGGAGAAGGAGCAGCATGAGCGCGAGAAGGAGGAACTGCGGCGCCAGTGAGACAGACGCAAACCCCCCGCTCACTCACACACACCATACAGAGCCTCACTTGCCGTGTGTGGCTTTGTGCTTCATTCAGGCTGGCTGCCCTGAGCGTCTACCAGCACTCCTCCTCGTCCAACAGCAGCTCATCCGCACCACCACCACCACCACAGCACGACTACCAGCAGCAGCAGCAGCCGATATCGGCTGCGTCAGGGGGAGAGGTGCAGGAGTGCGGCATCTGCTTCGACAGCCCCGCGACGGTCATGTACATGCCCTGCAGACACCTTCGGCTGTGCCCTCAGTGCTATGCCGACCGTCGGAGCAAGCTGCAGCGGGACCTCGCTACAGTGCGGGCGGAGAACGCCCGGCGGCGTCAGGAGAATGAGGACATCGAGAGACAGAACCAGACCCGCAGCAAGAAGGACAAAATCGCCCTGGTGGAGCTGCTGGATGAGCCAGAGTACCTGTGCGAGCACTGCAAGGTCAAGGTGCTGTTCGCTGGGTCGCGGGAGGAGGTGCTGCAGTGGGCCGCACAGCCAATCACATGACGCCTGCCTTCCTGCCTGGCGTGTGTGGGTGTGGCGGGCGGGCGGGTGGGTTGCTGTGCTGTCTGTTGGGTACTCCATTGTCATGAATCACTCCATGGCCATGACAGTGAGTGAGGCGTGTCGCTCGCTGCGTTGAGTGGCCATGGAGCGGAGGGCAGACAGCACACAACACACACACAACACACATGGCCGGCCACACGGAGGAAGGAGCTGCGCGCTGTTTGCGTTTATATCCATTCACTTTGAATGCTAATTTATAAGATCCCTGGTTCGTTCATTCACAATCTTGTCCAATGGATGGATGTGTGGACTGGACAGACATGTGTGTGTAGATGCATGTGTGTGTCGGGTGAGCGACTTGTAACAGACATGCCGTCGAATGCACTCATTCCCACACATGAAATTTGAAGGGCATTGAGTCGAAAGCATCCCACCCACTCACTCCCATCGTCCCTCCCGTACCATCCATATGCACAACGGACAAAGACGCCGCCAGCCAAGACAGCCCCACACAGCACAAGCCCCACCGCGATTGTCCCTTCCTTCGGCCATGCAGTCATTCATCAACACGCATACAGCGTCATCCATCAATCCATCAAGCGTCAGGTGGGCGGCAGTCTGTATGCGGCGCTGCCGCTGCCCAGTCCGATCATGTTGATGCACTCGTTGACAATGCGACACCGCTCCTCTTCGGACTGACGGGCGGCCTCACACGCCGTCTTGACGCCTGACAGGGCCTTCTCGGCACGATGCCGCATCTCCAATTCGCGAGCCTCAGCCTGCATGCATGCAGACGCATGTCGGACGGAAGGATGGGTGGATGGATGGATGGATGAAAGGACCTCTACCAGGTTTTGAGCGTCTTTGACCTGCCGCTCCTTCTGCCGCACCTCCTCACGCAGTTTGGCGCACTCCAAACCCAAACTCTGTCAACACAGACAGACAGACAGACAGACACGGAGGCACGGGTGTGTGTGTGTGTCTGTGTCGTCACTCTCCGCTCCTTCAGCCACACACAGGTGAGGTGCCGTGCCACACACTCTACTGACTGGCCCGGCCGCTCTCTGTGCGTCCGTAGGCACCCACCTGCATTTCGGTTTTGAGCCTGTCAACCTGCTGCTGGTGGGTGTTGTAGACCTCCTCACGCTGAGCCAACGTCGACTCGGCGCTCTATACGATAGATACATACACACACATGCGATGCGTGGGCCGCTGCGGCTCGGTGGGGGCACGGTACCTTACCTTGGCTTTCTCTTCAGCAGTGGCGAGGTCTAGTTGCAGGTCGTTGTTGGCCTTCTGTAGTGCCGCCAGCCGCTGGCAGAGCTCCGTCTCTTTGTCAGCCCGCTCACGCAGCCTCTTCTCATACTTGCTCTGCATCTCGGATGCCTGATGCAACCAACACAGTACACACACACGTCGTCTCGCCATCCCATCTGTGGGGTGTTCCGTCGATCGTTTCTTTCACGGACCACTTCATCCCTCCGTTCCTTCTCGTCCTTGGCGTGACGCAGCTCAGACTCCAATGAACGGATCTACACACACCACACCACACCACACCACACCGCACAGACCCGCATCGACGTGCATTCAATTCATGTCATGTGTGTTTGTTTGTGAGTGGTGCCATCTCACCTCGCCCTCGAGTGTGTCGACCCTCCTCTGGGCCTGGTCGTATGCCTCGCGCATCTTGCGCTTGCCCTTGTCGGCCTCGTCCACCCTCATCTGCATCTCGTCCTTGAGACGCTTGCCGTCCTCCTCGGCGAAGTGCAGCTGCCGAAGAGCGTCGCTGCAACGCAACTCGCTGTCCTGCACACCACACCACACCACACACGCCACCAAACACCAACACCCGCACCAATGCATTGGAACTTTTGTGTGGGCTGCTGGCGAGGTGACATACACACATACCTGTCTGTCTTTTGTGAGCTGGTCCGTCTGTGTGAGCAGCTCCCTCTCAGAACGGTCGGCACGCTCCTGACACACAGACAGAGGGTGAAGAGTGCAGTCAATGATGAGAGTACACACGTGCCATCCGTCCGTCTGTGTCGAATCCACCCACCTACCTGTTGCCTGCATTTCTCCTGGTGGAGGGCCTTATGTTTGTCCTGCAACTCAGCATGGGCACGCTGAACGAACGGCCGCAACACACACACAGTGGAAGGAATGCGCCCGCATGGTGGCTCAGCCACCCACCTGCAGCTCTTCGAATCTTCTCTTGAGCGTGTCATGCTCTGTCGTCATCTGCTGCCACCTGTCCGAACTCGCCTGACATAATGAATCAAGGCACGTACAGCACAGACGCACGCAGGCGTACAGACAGACCAGCCAGCGAACGTGCGCTTCTGCATTCTTACGCACTCTTACTTACCGCAGCATGCTCCAGCTGCCCTCTCAGCTCATTGGCCTCGGCCGCCTTCTCGGCGGCCTTTTTCTGCGCCTCCTCCAGCTGCTGCGTCGCCACACTCAGCTGCAAGTACACACACACACACACATATGGATTCTGTATCGTGGGCCTCTGTCTGTCTGTCTGTCTGTCTGTCTGTCCGTCTGGTTCTCACTCACCTCTGCCCTGAGAGTGTCGACTTCCTTTTCCTGTGTGTCTCGCGCCTCCGCCCGTTTGGCCTCTGCCGCTAGGGCGGCCTTCCGGTCCTCGAGGTCACGACGAGTGGCGAACAACTTGCACTGAACGATCGCACGAGCAGGCTCTGTCGATATTTGTCATAGCAATGTGTGTACCTCCATTTCCTCGAGCTGGCACTGCAGCGACTTCTGTACGTTTCTGCAGAGGTTGTCCTGGCGGATGGCCTCGCAGGGCTGCAGCGCACACCCCCGCCGCCGAGGGCTGCACGGCAGACCCTTGTTCCGACGCAAACACGCCTGACATCCACACACACACACACACACACACAGTAGCAACGGCCGTCCGTGTAAAGGTGTGTTGTTGGGTGAGTGGGACTCACTTCGACGGCCGAGAGCGTTTCATATCCGACTGCGTTGCCGGTGAGGTTGAGTTGGGTTATGACGCCGTTGTCCTGCAGGACATTTAGGATGGTCAGCCCGCCCTCAAGACCAAACTCGTTGTGGGCGACGTCGACACTCTCCAACGTTCTGACATACACAGACAGACAGGAAGGCAGAGAGAATGAGATTCGATTCTTCAAGCGTCACGACCCACCCTCTCGCCAGCCACACACCTGTTGCCCTTGATCATCTCAGCGATAGCTGAAGCCCCGCATGGGCCGACCTGGCACTCACGCAGACTGAAGCAAGCAAGCAGTAGCAAGAGGCAAGGGAATACGGTCACCGACCAGGCCATGAGGTAGGATAAGGACTGGTTTGCCTTGCCTGAGAGTCTTGATCGACGGGTGTGCTGCAACAACCTGGCAGAGGTGGCGGAGACCAGAGGAGTCCCTGAACGAGACCAGGGGCACCCAGATGCCCCAAAGGCAGGCAGGCAGGCAGGCAATATGTGTGTCTGATGGATCACTCTCGCTCACCGAACAGGGTTCCACTCGAGCGATAGCGACCTGAGGGCACTCTGGCTGGCGAGGGCCTTGGCGATGCTGTCCACACCGCTAGATGTAATATTGTTCGCCTGACAGCAACACAAAACGCACGGCGGCCAGCACGTCAGTAATAGCCTGACTGAGTTTGCCATGTACGTGTGTACTCACCTGCAGTTCGATGGTCGTGAATTTGTTCTTGTGTTGCTCGAGGAAAGCGGCGATGGCGGCGCATCCCTTGTCGCCGAAGAACTTGTTGTTGAGGCTCAGCTGCTCACAGCCGCCCAGTGACGCCAAGTAGTCGGCCAGGAACTTATCCATCTTTCTGGATCAATTGGCTGCCGATGATGGATAGGGCCAACGCAACGCGGTCAACGTCAAAGCTACCTGAAGCAGTCCATTGACACGGACAGACACAGCGGCCACACAATTCAGAGCGTGCGATACATGTTGCGCGCATGCGGCTGTCTGTGAGATGACTCGGCTGTCGTCTTTCCAGTATTTTGGATGTGCAATAGACGTGGTCCCTCAGCCCTGCTCACACCTCGGAGAGCCACTAAGAGAGAGCGGCGCACAAAGGGCCACTTCAGCCAGTTTCGCTTTGGATTACGCAGAGAGCGGATGCCGCACACGACAATGCATGCATCAACCACCTTTGGTGGCGACTTGCATCAGAATGGGTTTGCGAGCTCCAAGCTCGCCCTTCCCATTTGTTGCCCGAGTCGACAAAAAAGCCTTTGAGGAGCAGTGGAAGGTCGTGCTCAGTCAAGGAGAAAGCATTGTGCTGAGCTCAACGTCCCTGAGTTCCAGAAACGGCTCAAGAGCAGCTCCCATAGAGAAGCAGCAGTTGGCTGTCCGCCCCCTGCCGCCCGTCGTCCAAGGGAGGATCAGTCAGGAGGCCTGCCTACCTGCCTGCAGCAATCAGTGCCTGAGAGTAGGCGTGAGAGTCGAGAATGGCGGTCGGCGTGCTGCTGACCGGCACGATTGTCTTTGCGGCTCTCGGAGTGGCAGCGTGCGTCATCTTTCCCTTCTGCACCGCCTACGAGACGGAGAACATCACCAAAGGGGAATCCATACAGTGAGCCACGCACAGACCGCACTGCTTGCCTTGCACTGGAGTGCCAGAAAGGCTGACTGGTTGGACTGAGAGGAATGAAGCCTAGACTGGTGTGGTGCATGCCATGCACTGCATGCCATGTGGTATTGTGTCTGTGTGCGTGTGTGTGTGTGTCCAGATTGACCATCGTATGCATCTCAGTAGCGACGGTCTGCCTCTGGGGATTGTAAGCCGCCATGAGAAAAGCAACTCACAGACGCACGAATCGTCGTTCTCTCCCTCCCATTCATTCTGTTCGGTTGATGTGATGCCTCTGTCTGTGTGTGTCTTCTCCCTCCCTCCCTCCCTCCCATGTCAGTTGGATATCGATGTACATGCACCAGATGAACCCGATGATCCTGCCGGAGAGGGCGGTGCACTGACGGACGGACCCACCAAGACAACACACACAACACAACAGCACAGAGCAGATACGAGAAGACCCCGAGAAGGAGGCATGACGTACGTGGCTTGGCGTGCGTGGCTGTCTGCCGGACGGACGGACGGACCGAATGGATGAGTGAGTTGACTGCATGAGATGAGATCGGACCATGCATGAGACTCACTGACTAACCCGCTCGCCCGCTCGACAGTCAAGAGAAGGCTTTTTCGGTCGGTGCCACCAAGTAGGTCCCGAGCAGCACTCACTGCTTGTATGGATATGTGTGTGAGAATGTATGTGTGTGGGTATATTCGATGACAATCTGGCCGACGTTTGTGTAAGCTGCCTATACGTGTGTGTATGTGTGTAGAGCAGCCACCGGCTCGCCCATTCCCATTGAGTGCATTGATCGACACACCATGCACGCACGCGAAACACATCATCATCCATCATATTTGTCCCAACACATACGCGAGAGCACCGGCTGAGCAGAGTCTGACCATCAGCCAACCAACCGACCGATCATGCACACACGCCACGCACTTCGGATGCCATCGCGACGTACGTCATCGACCCACCCCATCCACACACTGAGCCGACATGCAAACAGAGAGAGAGGCTATACAGAAGACAGACAGACAGACAAGACAGCTCTTAGACAGACAAGAGATACCCACACATCCATCCACAAGACAGCAAGAATAGCAGCAAGCAACGACAGACAGACAGACCACCATAGGGAATTAGGGTCGAGAAGCCCCCAGCTGCCCGACAGCCCTCCAGCCCCCTAGACAGACAGACAGACCGACACAATCACACACAAGCGAAGGGGAGGGTAGGGGAGGGTGGGCCCACACACGTACACGTACAAGGCGATAGATACAAGGAGGGAGGCAGACATCGACAACACTTTCTCACACTCACACACGAACACGCAGAGCAAGGGAAGGGAAGGGAAGTGGAGGAGTGGTCGGACAGCATTGACACTGTTGAAAAGTTGGCGCGTCTGTTGCTATCTACGGTGCTGGCTCTCTGTCCCACATGCGACGCGACATCCCAACGCTGCAAATGCATCCATGGTGGGTGGATGCCTTCGCGACGTGAAGGTGGCGTCTGTGAAACAGCAAAGCCGCCACGAGATAGCACAGCAAGGTTGGGTTGACATCCATCTCGTCAATCAAAAAGACAACAAACCAAGGAAGGAAGGAAGGCGAGAGAAAACTCGAGGAACGCAAAGCATGCACGACGGAAACAAAAAGTGCCATGTCAGCCACACTGCATTGCGTCATCACGTCGATCGACGAGGGAAGATCAGATCGACGAGGAGGCGATCTTCCCTCGGCGATCGATGTGGAGGCAACACAACACGGCCGGCTGGTAGGTATCGACGTATGTGGCTCCCTCCCTCCCTTCTAGCTTGTAGCTCACTCATGTCAGTACGTCAGGTGGCCTGTCCGGCGGGTAGGTTCGATTTGGAGTGTATGGGTATGATGTCGTTGGACGGCAGGAAGGGCGAGATGTTGACGTCCATCGAAAAACCATTCAGCCTGCCGTAGAGGGAAGGGGAGAGAGAGGTGTTTGCGGCGTAAAGCGGTGTGCGTGTGTGAGTGGCTGCCACGTCTCGTCTCACCTGGGTGTGATGATGAGTTGGGAGCTGATGAACTCCCGAAACTCTTCAAAGCTCAGCAACCCGTCCCTGTCAACATCATACTGGTCGTAACTCTGACAAAGCGCACAGACAGACATACACAGACAGGGGCATACGGTATGCTTGCTTCTGCACACCAACAGTCCTCTGCCTGTCTCTAGCCGACTTACATCGCCCACAAATTGCTGCGCGCATTCCTTTGCGAGCGCCTCCAGTCCAGCCAACGCACCACCATGCTGGCCGCCGGCTCCATCGGCCGCCGTGTCGCCCATGCCCACCCCGCCATTCATGCCGGCAGTGGGTGGCTGCCTCATGGCTGACGTGGCGTTGTGTGGCGACGGCTCTGCGTCGCTTCTGCTGCGGCCATTGGCGTTGGGTGGTGGCTGGGGGGCGGTGTTCTCGACAGCCAGTAGGCAGTGGAACGCGTCGCGCCATAGCGCTAGGGTGACATCCAACAAATCAGCCTGAACACAAGATACAGTTCTGGTTCCGTTGAGAGGGCAGGTAAATATTGATGTACAGACATACCGATGTGACGGCCGCATCAGCCCTGCAGTGGACCTCGAAACAGAGAGCCATTTTCTCATCGTGTGTACCTGCACATGTAGACAGACATTCACACCACCAGCACTGAGGAGGATACCTACCAACGACCCACTCCCCTCGATGCGTCGTGTACCATGTCTGGCTCTCTTGAGAAACGTCAAGAGGTCACTCAGAGTGACGCGCTGCGCCTCACTCAGCACCGACCGAGGCTGCCCGTCGACCACACCCGAATCACCACGTGCACCCTCGCCCGTCGGCACCCCATCGCTCTCATGGCTGTCTGTTACAGCCACGTGGTTGTTGGCCGCCATATCGCTGTCGGCCGGCGGCTGTGGCTGTGAGTTGTCAGCAGCGGTGGGATTGGCGGCAGTGGCGGTGTTGTCCTGCCCCTGGCCGGCCTGTATCCTGTCCTCCAGCCGCTGCTGCTTGGACGGATTGCCCAGCGCATCGAAGATCCTGATCGATCAACAACACGGAATGCAGTGAGGACCTGGCACTTCGCTCCATGTGTGAGTGTGCGTGCACTGCACCTGTCCCAAAAGACGGGAGCGACCCTAAAAAACTTGGCCTCCCCCAAACGATGCATCATCGCGTGAAACTCGGGACGGCCGGCTGCACCAGTGATGCACACAGACACAGACAGACACATGTATATGATGACCACTCACAGCAGGACATGGCATCGGGCTGGGCTTGCCTGTCGGTTCACTGTCACAGTGTTGGTCGTTTTGTTGGGGCCGCGAAAGGTCCTCCTCAGCCAGGTCAGGTCGAGATGACGACGCCATCGCACCATTCGACGCCCCGTCCCCCGCACCAGTCACCGACACAAACACCTCCCGGACGTACGCCTCGTCCTGAACACACAGACAACGACGCACAGCAGGCACACAGTGTGTCTGTGACCCCCCTTGTTGCCTCGCTGTCCTTCACGCGATCACCGATTGGTATTCGTCGTTAGTGTGAGCTTTGCTGCCTCTCTTCTTGCGCGACAGCCGTCCATCTGGCCCTCCCGGCCCTCCATTGACCAGCACAGACTGATTACAGCCCATTCAACATCCGGTGACCAAAAAACCGCCCACCGACGCGGGAAAAAGGGGCAGCAGATGTTGATGGGGTCACACCGCACGACACTCTGGGGAGAAAAGCGGAAAGTGTGTTTTCCAAAAGCGAGCTCGAATGGCCCTAATGCGAGCTCAAATCCCGAACCTCCCGAGGCTACGTTCTCCTGTTGTCGCGTCCGTACGGGGTCAGTATAGGGCTTCTCGCCATCCTTGCAAAGACGAACCAGCCCGTGTTGAGACTGCTGCAGCTGAGTCTCTCGCCACGGCCAGATTGATGCTCGTGCACATGGCGTCAGGGAAGGGCTGCGTGTCGCTGAGAAGGCACCCGCCAAACATCCCATCGAGCAGATCCGCTGCAAGCGATAGGGAATGTCAACGTCGCGCGTTGTCGTATCGCAACTTGCTGAAGCCACCTGCGTCTCGTGTGTCTCGTGGGGCCGCCCACTCGAACGATGGCTGCGGGCCTTGTCGCTTTGAGAGGGCAAGCGGCCCCGCCCCGCCGAGGCGTTTCCGCCCTGCAATCGTGCCTGCTGATGGTTCTTGCAATGGCGGCTCTGTGAGTGAGCATCGCAACATGCTCGAGGACTTGCCCGAGGACATCATGTGCTCCGTCTTCGTCTACCTTGATGCACAGGACATGGACAGGTGAAGACAAACAACACACACAACAGACGGCTCCTGGCGATTCCCACCACCTTGTGCTTCGGGATTCGTTGATGTGATCAATCTGTCTGTCTGTGACGCAGGTTAGGTCGTTCGAGTTGTTTTCTATTCGATGAGGCCCGTCGGTGCAGCGAGCGGCGATTCCAGGAGCTCTTCGGGGCAATGGGCCTGCCCACCTACCTGAGGAACTCGCGATCGCACCTGTTCCGCCTGCTGCAGTTTGCACAAGGCACCGCCAACGCCCCGGCAGTACTGCAGACCATCGCATGGGCCGCAGGTGAACGCATGAATGAATGACGGATATAAACAACATGGACGGAGCTCATCGGCTTCCCTTTCCCCTGCGTGTGTCGTCTCTCCCTCGTCTCTTCAGCCTTTGGGTATCCTCGGTACATCCGTCATTGGCTGAGCCAGTGGAGGGGAACATTCCCGTCTCGGAGGAGTACGGAGGTGCCAAACGCGCGGGCTGCCGACGGCACGCCGGCTCTCTACCTCGCCACGCAGAGCAAGAAATATGATGTACGTAGGCGCCCAGTGAGTGCATATGAAAGACAGCACAACACTGTGTCTCTTCTTTTGTTTTGCTCAGATCATGGCTCTTCTGCTCGAGGCAGGGGCGTGTCCGAATGCACCGCTGAGCAACGGCAACACATCTCTGTTTGTAGCGGCCAAGCATCTCGACCTCCAGGCGGCCGACATCCTCATGCAAGCGGGGGCCTCACCCATTGTGGTGAGCAGTAGGCCTTGCGAACGCACCTTCGCATCATTTTCACTCCGCTACGTGTTTGCAGGAGAATCGTGTCCGCCAATCGGTGTTCATGGCTGTCATCCAAGTTGCCCGAGAGGCCCCCAACCCCGACACAGTGCACAGTGCTGTCGCATTCATACGAATAATTGCAAGGGTGGGTCGGTCGATAGATGAGCACACACACGTCTCTGGCCGCTGTGTATTCTGCTCGTCTGTTCAGGGACTTGACACGGCATCCAAATCAAGCCGGTCAGCCCTGAAGGCCCTCCTGGCTGCCTGTGAGGCAAGGCTGCCCGCGATCGTCGAAACTCTCCTTGACGCAGGCGTCGGCATGCCCGCATCGCAACAGAGACACACCGCAGCACATTCAGCCCGCTCCCGGCCGCAGAGTGCCCACGCCGGCAGCGTGGCCGCAACGCAGCGCAGAATATCCCTCAGGAATGGCGGCAACGATCCTGTGGACATGCTTTTGGGGATGACGCTGCCTGATCCGAGCTGGGTGGACCGGTTTGAGACCAGCATGAGCATGTCTCCCACGGCAACGCCAGCGTCACCGTCAGCGCGCCCGTTGAGCGCTGCGGGGAGTGTTGTGGGCGGCAGCGGGGGAGATGGTGACCAGCTGCCGTGTCCACTCCTGGTTGCCTGCCAGAATGGAAACCGGGAAATCGTGCAGGCAGGCATAAATGGACCCTGACCACACAACCAGTCGCCATGTACGGATGTTTGTTGGTTGATCAGCTGTTGCTCGAGAAAGGCGGGGCCCAGGCTGATGTTAACTCAACGCTCGCCTCTGGCAAGACGCCACTGTACATCGCTGCTGAGATGGGCGATGATAAGATGATTGCTATGGTGAGTGAGACGTGGATAGGGTGGTGTCACATATCCATCATGAATCCTTCGTGGCAGCTTTTGATCCATGGAGCGAAGCTGTCCAGCACCACCTGTACGGGCCGCTCAGCGCTGTTCGCAGCCGTGCAGGTCGGCAAGGATGTCTCATGCTCGTCACACCGGCAGTTGGTCGTATAGGGATTGATGCCTTGTTCTTGTCCAGGGCGGCCACGAGAAAGCGGTCAAGAGTTTGCTGAAGTTTGCTGACGTACCTGACATCATCAGGTAAATTCCTCCGCTGTGTGATCTCCTTTGCCTACACCCCGCTTTGTCGCTGTGTCAATGCAGGCCGACGCCCAATGGGGATTCTCCGTTTTCTCTGGCCGAAAGGCGCGGCAAGGCCCCCATGCTGGTGGACATGCTCGACTGTTACCTGCGGCAGATCCGCAAGCGCGCCCAGCTCCGGGACATGGGCCTCAGCGATGACGAGTGCCCTGAGGTGTTCGACGCCTATCTTACTGCATTGTGCCTCAAAATGGGGGTGAGCGAATCTCGGCACGAATTCATATATGACATATCGGTGGAAGGCCAATGCCGACATTCTGTATCTGAATGTCAGCTGATTGGTCGTTCGAAGGCCAAGGATCTGATGCAGGGGCGGCATCGCGGTGTCTCACGCTCACCCTGCGCCGCAGCCAAGCGAGCCCAGACTCCATTCCGCGTCTCCCAGTCGCCCATCAGCGCGCGAGCTGGCGACCCCTCCGCACCCCCACTATGGATGACACCAGAGGAAGAGGAACGATGGAGGCAGTTCACGCCGCCAGTCGACATGAGAGGCTTTCGGCCTTCACAAACACGGCCACGCAGCTTCCACATTCGCGCACAGCCGAAGGCATATCACACGGACGTGGAGCCACAACAAGAAAAGGCCATCCCTGTCGACCAGTCGGCTCCGCTTTCGGGTGGTGGTAGAGGCGCCTCTGGAACTGAGGGGGCGGCCGAGAACAAGACGGACTGTGTCTCAAGAAACCCTGAGCCCTTCTCGTCCCTCAACGCTTTTCAAGAGAGAAAGGGGACGTCGCCAACAATCCAGCGGTGGAAGGAGGGCGGCGCAACTCTTATGGCTGACGACCACAAGGAAGACACCGCTGACGATGGGTTTGAGTACAAGCCGAAAAGGGAGCTCAAATGGCAGAGCGCCTCATCTGCGAAGATCAAGTCTCGGGAGCTATTGCAAAGTATCCAGCAAACCTACGAAGGACAGCTTGGCGGGGCTTCGGAAGCAGAAGGAAAACAAGCAATCAACAAGCCCGAAAGAACAGATGACGTCTTCGCCAAGTCCCCACCGCCACCAAGAAGCTCTCCAGCGACCCCTCTGACGTCCGATCTGCCAGCTCCTGGCTGGATCGAGCATAAGAACAGGAGAAGTATGGTGTCAGCCCCCGTGGAAGAGAAGAAAGATTTCTTACGCTGCCGTCAAGGTAGCGGAGGCAGCATGGGAGGAGACATGACTTTGCTGGAGCGGCCAAGGCCCTCCGGCCACCCGACGCTGCCGAGCGAGTTCCTGCTGTCAGAGCTGAATTGCGCATGATATGTATGTCTTTGTGTGCTTTCGGACATGTGTGCGTATGCTCGTATGTTCGTTTTTCTCTAAGTCGTGATCGCATCGCGACATGCTGTCAGTCTCATGGGCTCACGGAGCGTGTCCACAATAGTGAGTGAATGGTTTGCGTCATTCCTTTTGGCTGGCTACGTCTTACAAGCTGACATTCTTGAGTGTCCAATCAGTTGAAGCGATGTGTGTGTCTCGCCCTCCGTCTTCCTACAACCATCTGTGCATGGTGGCTACCCAGCTCCTTCAAGAAGGAAGAAGCCGTGTAGAGTGCTGTCAGTATATCTACAAACACAGAAAAATGCTGACAGCCCACCTATATCAAGCACATTGACAAAGTTTCGACCATCCTACCTACACGACCTTATCGTCTTGCATCACCACATGACTTGGCCACCTCCCCCGACCCGCCACCCCGTCACTGAGTCTTTGTCTCCATGGGAAGGCCGCAGTTGCCATCCGCCGAAGGACACCCCGCCAGGCTGAGCCGTCGGCAGCCATCCTGTGTCTCGTTGGCTTGTCAGCGGGATGCGTCAGTGGCATCGAGTTGAGCTTGATCAGTTGCGGGGGGGGCTTGTCCAAGCATAAAAAGTCCACAATATCCTTGACGGGAGGCCTCTCGTCCCTCCTTATGCCGCTCTTGGCCTCGCCGTAGGGGCCGGCCGTGTGTGAGCGGTGTCTGTCGTCATCGTCCACTATGCTGTGTCCCGACTGCTGATACATGTAGTGGCACGGCGGTGTCATGGTGGCCTTGTCGACGTAGATAGGCCGATGGTCGGTCGGCGAAGGCTCATGGATGGAGTCACGTGTTGAGGCGGGGGAAAAGAACGCCGCTTTTCTTTCCTTCCAGTCGGACACGTCCTGTGTCAGTAGCTTCTGTTTCTCCATAGCTTCCTGGTGCCTCTCACGCTCCATGACTTGCTGTTTGTTCAGCTTGGAGGGGCCAGCGAGCATTTTAAGGGCGATCGTCTCGACCTTTGCCTTCCGCTGTCCTTCCGCTCGACTCATCGTGCCGTCGGTGGTTTCGCTCCTCCTCTCTTGCCAACTGACTTGTGATCTCTTTCTCTCTTCCTCTTTTTCGCGAACATCAAGATCATGCCCCACCAGGGATCCGCCCGCTACTGCTGCTGCTCTCTCACATGGCTGACCGCCTGCCTGTTTGGGTACGTCAATGAATCCATAGGGATGTTTGGACGAGGGGTGTCGTGAACCTCCGGCCGATCTTGCGCGGTTCAATATGTCGGTTTCGTGCGTGGATCTATTGCAGGTGGCCGAGCCCTTCCGGCCCTGAGCATCAAGCGCCACCTACGCATCGCAGGGATGACCCTGAAGGGCAAGAATCGACCGGCCGAGTGAGCCCCATCGCAGAAAATGGGATTGCTACTTTTTCATCCGTCTGTTTTCTCTCTCAGGCCGCTCGTGGTGTGATGATGGCTGCCATGTTCGAAAGCCCCTCGCCAGCCGTCCCACTCCACAACGTGCTCGAGTATGAGTCACGCCGGCATGACGATGACGACGAGGTATCAAGATGTTAAGAAGAGCAGCAACGAGGCCACAGCTTACTGTGGTTTGCCACGGTTTTGTCGTGATTGCAGGCAGAACAACCTGCCACTGCCGCTACAGCAGCATTGAGCCATCATGCAGCCCTGCAGGCCAGCACCGGAGGCAACACACCAACAGCACCGCGCTCTACGCCTCCAAGCGCTGAGTCGTCTCATGCTGCTGCTACTTCTGCTGCGCCTGCCTCAACCACAGCCCCTGATGCCCCTGCTGTAGCCCCTGAGCCTTGTCATGCTGCCTCAACCACAGCCCCTGCTGCTGGTGGGGAGACCAGCAGCAACGTAGCTGCAGCTGGAGAGGCCAACAACGCACCGGAGAGAGCGCCTCTGCTGGTATGTCTTTATCCATCTTGATATGGTGACACAGCCGACGTTTCTTTCTGTCTGTCTTTCAGCCTGATTTGGTCATCAACGTCCTCGCCTATCTGCCCTTCCCCTCGCTCGTCCTGGCCCGCCTCCCTCCCTCCGTGCTGGAACAAGTGTGCAAGCTGCACACGCGTCTGATCATCGACGCATCGACGCACGAAGGCGTGGAGGCCTGGGGCAGAATGCTGCCGCAGCGCGCGAGACAGCTGGGACAGCTTGCCATCAACGTCTCCACCATCATGATGCGGCACCCTGGCTTCTTTCCGGAATGGGGCCTCGCCGCTCTGGTGGCTTTCGTTGGTGGCCAAGCGGCAGGACGGGCAGAGGCAGCGGCACAAGAGGGGTCGGGAATCCAAGGAGCATCGCTCAAAGCCGTCTCGTTCGAGGGGGTGCCCTTGCCAGTACGGCCGGGACCATTTAGAGCACCCCCCGTCGCTCCCGTCCCCTCTGCCGGCGCCCGCACGCGCCTTGAAGCCCTCACATCGATTTCAGGCCTGCTACAAGCCCACCATCCTCTGGCCGACAGATGGCTGATGCCGTCTTTGATCGACGTGAGCGGCCCTGGGTGTGATGGGGAGATGACGAGCGCCTTTCTCCGATTGTCAACCACAATTACGAGAATTGGCTCGTCATCCACACCCACAGAAAAGGCAGAGCTGCTCGAGCGCCTGCCTTTGGCCACGAGAGAGGGGGACAGGCTGGTGGCACCTCTAAGCCATCTCGAGACGATCGGCACTTTGCGTGTCTCTCGAGATGCTGTCCAGATGCGCCAGGAATTCGACCGGCTAGAGGTATGAAAGGAGAAAGTGCACCTTTCCCTGTCTTTTTGCATGCAGCGCTTTTTTCCTTCCTTTCAGACCGTCATGCTGGCACGCAACTGTCCTCGCTCGTCAATCAAGGTCACTATCGACTTCGACATCGACGCTTTCGAGGGAGTCGACGGCTCCTTTCTGCCCCTTCTCGCCGCCATCCAGGCGTTCTTCCGCACCTTCGCTGCCGGCCCCACCATCTCCATCGCCAACGAGCGCTTCTCTTTCAATCTTGACGTGCTCATCTACCTTCCCGCAAGCACGTCAACGTTTGTGAGAGACAGCCTCGTCAAGCTCGGGAATGAAGCCACGGACGTCCTGTGGAAGTTGAGAGCGCAGCATCTGCATGACGCGCAAGATGCGCACTCTCTCTTCCGTGAGCCGTCCCCAGCTGCGACCGACGTCTCCAGGCGGCTGACGTTTCCCAGGGCGGCCAAGTTCTGCCTTGAGGACGCAAATGGCTTCTTCCCCGACCCTCCCCTCCCCGAGGTGATGCCGGCCATTCTCAACTACCTGCCACTGTCGATCGGCGCCGACAGCTCCCACCTTGTCATCGACAGTAGCGCGGGGTGCGAAGTGGGGCGGCAGCTTACAGGCTGCATGACCGGCATCAATGAACTGAGTGTCTGGAAGGCCGTCGACGTGCACTTCGTGCACTCGATCCTGCTGGCCATTGGGGGAGGGATGGCGATGGAGAAGGTGTATTTCTCGGTGATTCGGGGCAGCGGTGGCCTGTGGCTGGGTGCAGATATCTATCCCTCAATCAAGGACCTGAATGTGTGCATAGGTATCTGAATGAAAATGCAAATTAACGGAACACACCTCACTTACTTCCACCTGTGTATCTGTTGTGTGTGCAGAATCTGCCAGCGACATACCCAGCCTCCTGGAAGTCAGAGGTCTGGAGACCGTCAGCTTTCGAGCGATGCGTCCAGACCTCATGGCAAGGGCGGGGCTGCACCAGCTGAGAGATCATGGGCGGACGTATGAAGGCTTCACGGTTGCATGGCACTTGAACAAAGTGACGCTATCAAAAGCTGCGGGTAAGCGAAGTGGGAAGGATGGTTTGGTTCAAGTGTGATTGCTGAAATGTGTGCCTTTGCTTGTGTTGCGTGTCAGGTCGAGGTGGTCGAGGGCGCGGAAGCGGTGGATGGAGAGGGCGGGGAAGAGGGAGGGGCAGGGGCCGGTGAGGGCTGACTAAGAGACCTTGCTTTCTTTGCTTGTTTTGCTCGGTTTTGGGCTGATGTCTCTTTTTTCCGTCTTTTTCCGTGACGCATCAAACGATGCTCACAGTGAGTGCCACCTGGGGGTGACCTTAATGTTGGAGAGGGCTTGTCATTCGAAAGTGCGCACTTGTATGAATGCGTGTCGCTTTGTCTACTCACACTGAGCACCATTCTCACTCAGCAGCTCATTCATACACACGCTTGCCCACGCATTGCTTTGTCCGTCAGTTGTGCATAGTTCCGTTCACTGCAGGTGCACTGTGACGTCGTCGACGCCCCACGAGACGATGTCGGCATTGGACTCAGTCAGCGTCGAACCAAACACCTGCACACACACACATACGCACACACACGGCTGCATTCAGTGTTGTGCTGGTGTGTCTGTGTCTCGTGTGGTGCTGACGAGGTTGAGTGTTGGTGTGGAGTGCGGGATGGTGACGTCGACAAGGACCCTGAGCCGGTCGGGCTGACTGGCGCCGCACACGTTCACGCCGAATTCGCGGCAAGTCAAAGTGGTCATGGTGGGGCACTGCATGAATCCACAGTCATCCCTCTCTCTCTCTCTCCCAGTGACTGACCAAGTTGTGTGAGCGTGCCCACACGATCTTGTTGCCGGCCTTCAGGTACACACTCTCGCCCGTCCACCTGCACACACACACCAGTGCAGTGCACACGTCCATTTGTCGTGTGGTATGGGTGGCTGTTTGCTCTCACCTGTCGAAGTAGTGTATGCGTGCAGTGACTTTGACGTGTCTGTGCGGCGGGAGCTTCTTGTACAGCCGCGACACGCTGCCCCGCACCAGTTTGCCGAGGAAGACATCCGTCGAGTAGCCGCACGTCGACCGGTCAGCCCGATCCCACTGATTCACACCATCCTACACACGAACCAACACAGTCGATTGCCAAGTGGCGCTGTGTGTGTCATGCTTGCCATAGAGTCGACGAGTGAGAAAATTGCGAAGGGCGTGTTGCGGCCACCTTGACGCTCGCGGCAATCGTCGTGGCCACGTCGCTCACAGTGAACACAACGATGTCCTGGCCCTCTCTCGCTGAGCACCCGAACACATTAACTGCTCGGCGGAGCAGCAGCTCACTGTTCTCGCTGAGCAGCTCGAGAGGCGCCAATGACGGACTCGCGTCACTCACAAACTCTGCACGCACGAATGACACAACCACACTTGCGAGGCTTGTGTCGGTCTCTGTGTGTCTCGCTTACCCATCGGGCGATGGTGCCTGCGTCACGAGCTCAACAACAGACACTCTCACCCGACAAATCCTCACATTGTACGCGCCTCAGAGTCCGCAAACTGAGTGTGGGAATCTGCTCACAGTGAACAAAGTGCTTAATGTAGTGATCAGTACTTACCCAACTCACCCACCAGGTCTCCTCATCGCGTCCGGGCAATGAGTCCAATCACTCTCGACGCCCGATCGAGGAGGCGCGCACGCGAGAAGAAAAAACGACGAATGCTCGGCGAAAGGGCCTTTGGACTCTCTCTGGCTGTGTTCTCTGTTATTTGCAGGCCTGATCTAGTTCGCCAAAGGCGAGGATCTCTGCGGCTGTTGCGGTGCGAACACTGCCGGTGCCGCCACGCGCCCCCTTGCCGAACGAAGCGCCAACTGTGTGTGTGGGACGCTGCAGAGGCAAGCAAATGAGGCTTTCGTTCACTGTGAGCTGGCGCGGCATCAAGATCGGAATGGCTTTGTTTTCCAGGAGATGGGGGAGTTCCAAAATGAAGGCTTCTTCTTATTCCCCCGGCGAAGGCAGCATGCCGCCGTGCATCTGTTCCCGTGCCTCTCCTCCCTGGGCACGACCAGAACACGAAGATGCCGCAGCAGCAGCAGTCGGCTTTCCCTCACGATTGGACCCGCAGCATCGACAAAATTCCGGAGGTGGTAGAAGAGGGCTTCAAGATGCACGGCGACGAGGGCTTCCTGTCGATTGCCGCGGCTACGTATGCCACTCTCTTCCCCAGCCTCAGCGACGAAAGCGCTCGGATCTACAAGCACCCGTTCCCCTTCTTCGGGTTCGAACCCATAGGGAGCGCGCAGCGAGACCACACCAGCCGTGCCAACGTATCACTGCCAGGTCACCAGGCAGGGGCATGATGAACGCACTGACGATATCTAATGATTTGTCCCTGTCTGTTTCCCTCAGGCATGAAGGGCTACCAGCACATCGAGCGACCCCACACCCACAACGAACACATCGCGTGCTACTGCCTTGCCGGCGGCTACACGCACCCTATCTACACGGCCAAAAGGGGGGACGTCACCATCGGCGCGGACCTCCTGGTGCCGGCCAACGCGCCGCAGGGCGTCGCCGGCTCCATCCAGCGATCGCGGCTGTTCAGCAAGCATCATCACAAACTGATGGGGGACGCCATGCTGTCGGCGGTCATGGAGTGGCAGTATGGCCGCGGTGGGTTCCCACTCTACTACCTCGACAAAGACGTGATCCACAAGCCGTGCAACTATGGTGAGGCGGGGGAATGTGTGTGTGGATCATTCGTATGTATGGATCTCTCCTTGTGTGTGCAGACCCTGAGTTGATTTCGGTGTTAGTACAAGGCAAGTCGGACAGCACTCGTGCTACAGACCAGTTCGACCCGGACAAAAAATGGCTTGAGCTGGTGAGTGACACAACAAGGTCATGATGGCGGCATCTCTCGACCTTGTTTGCCGCTGCAGGAGAGAAGAGAAGCGACGCCTGAGGAAAAGAAGCAAGCGCGAGACCGCTTGCGCGAGGCAGAGACCAACAGCAAGACGGACCTCGAGCTCATCGGGGGCGACTGGAGGGTGAGACTGGAACTGCCCCCCGAGGAGGCCGCCGAGTACGTCATCGAACTATGGGGAAAGTACCTAGAGAGGTGCGCCGCCCCACAGGCATACAGACGTGTGACGTCTTACCTCTGTGCGCGTCAGGTTCCCCATGAAGTCTCTCGCGAGTGACGGCATCGTCCAAGTGTGGTGCCCCCCTGGAAGAGAGACATCGATCAACGTGCCGACCAAGCTCTAACAACACACACACACACACACATGACTTTTTTGCGTCTTCTGCTGGGTGCACGAGGGTGACTCACATTCATGCATACACTCATGTACGGCTGAGTCGGTTGCTCGCATCCATTCCATTGCATTCGTACACACGTTGCGTGCGTGGACGGCATAGCATCCATGCATTCATACGCGGCTATATGGCTGCCTGCTGGCCTGTCATGAATGTGCCTGCCTTCTTTTCTACATGCTCACATCAAACCATGCAGTTCAAGGTGGGAGCATCGCACTTTTTTGTGTCCCCATCGATCCATGGCATGGTATCAGAGAGCATCAGCACAGTCACCTGAGAGAGCATCAGTACACGTGAGTATTGGTGGCTGTGGAGGGGGTTCATGTGGTGTGCTGCGAGCATGTATCCATGGATTGAGTGAATATCGTGCTGTGCATGGTGGGGAGGGGTGGGCCGCTAGCTCTCTAAGCCTCTCTTCTTCTCTTAAACTAGCCTCTTGCTCTGCCTTGTCTCTCTCAGAGGTACTGAAGCCCTTGTATCGCTTTCAGTCCTCTCATTCACACGTTGATGGATTTTTCCATGTCTAAGTGCGTTGGTGCGCGCAGTGGTCTTTTCTCAATGAGTAGACGAATGGGATGGACAATCGAACCAAACGAGTCACATCTCTTAAAGTCGACCGACCATCACACAGGTACAATGTCAAACACGCCAGTCTACTGCCACGCATCGGCAGACAAGACGTCAACCAGACACAAATGCAGCATTACTACGACCGTTAAAAAACACTACATTCCATACGTCGTATAATACGGAGAGCTCACGAAGAGCTCTGGCGTCTAGAGCTGGCCTCTCGCTTGTACGCTTCCTCTATAAAGTCGAACACCGTTGGGGGTTGCCGGCTAGTCTTCAGTCTTCCGACTGAGTCGTGGATGAAGCGGCACCTTGAGCCCTGGTTGCAGAAGCCTTCCCTGTGGAATTTACACAGCCTGTCGATCTTCTTCGTCCGGTCTTGAAGCTCCTGCGACCAGCCCAGGCAGGAACCGATGAAGCAGAATGTATGTATATTCATTGCCACACGCACCTGCTCTCCGTGAGCGAACCAGCAGCGACGTCCCATACTGCATTCGCCCGTCTCCATGAAAGAGGGGCACAACCTGACCTTGATCACTGAACAGGCAGACAAACAGACAGACAGACAGACAGACATGCACGGTGGAGAGCGGTGGATAGGTGCGTGAGTGCGTGTACGTACAGCGAGTAAGAGGTCGCAGCTCGTCCTCTCCGTGCGCAAAGGAACAATCATCTCCGTGTGGGCAGCGGTGCCGTAGGGTCCAATACCTGATAGACACGGCGAATCATAGGGCACAGCGTCCACTGCCTGCCCGGCGTGCTCGTCCTTACTTGCAGAGCGCAGTCGGTGTGATACGGATGACTGTGCGGGCGCTGTCGGTGTCGCCGTTGCTATCGTCAGGTGACAGCTCCTCGCGGCTGCTCTCGTCCTGACACACACAGGCACAGAGGCATGTCTACTGATCGACACTCGTTTGCGCACGAGTACATCGTATAGGGTCATGAGCACACATACTGCGTACAGGCCTCTCTGCACAAAGCATCTTCTGCCCACCGCCGATGGCATGGAGGCCCTGTGGTCTCTCTCAGTAGTCCTCGGTATCTTAAATGCGCCGCCCCCTCGCTCAGTCAACCTGTCGTCTGAAAACGAAATCTGACGAAGCAAGGAAGAGCAGGCAACACCCATGATAATGCGATGTTCCTGCCTGTCTGCCCGTGTCGGCTCTTACGTCTGTCGTGTTGCGAACTGATGAGTACTGCGATGGCTGAGACTGACGGGCTGGACCACTCACGTTGGGGCCAAATTGCACGGGAGCACTGACAACACACAAGGACAACAGACAACGAACGGGTGTATTTGGTTGCTTTGCGGGTGCCCTTTTCCCGCCGTGTAACACACGTGCAGAGGAGCTCCGTGACGCCCGCCGAAACCACCCTCCAGATCGATCGCCGCGTCTCTGTCGGGATGCGAGGCGATGCAGTCGACGAGAAGCACTCAGCGGACCCAGCAAGTGCATCTCCCAGCCCGACCCTCTTTTCCACGCCCGTCACGATGCCGTAGAGCTTGCCGCAGGCGTCCTTTGTGGCCTGGAATTTGTCATCAAGCGTCGCAATCTTGGGCTTCATCCTGTCGAGCAGGTCGGTCATCTCGGTGCCGCCCCATGCCAGGATGTCGGTCTTCCTCTCGTTGATGGCGGTCCGGTTGTCGTGTATGGCCTTCATGATGGTGGACAGGTGATGCTGAATGCCTTCGAAGACGAGCTGCTCGTGTGGGGGCCCGCTGCTGCTGTGCGCTCGGAGCGACACCATCAGACCGGACAGGCCGAGAAGCTCCACCAAGATGTCCTCGTCAGATGCACTCTGCATACATGCGCAGCCCAGAGAGTAGCTACGAACGGTACGGGACCCTGTTCGCTCCATCGTGACCTTTCTCTTTCGATCGTGTTCGATCGTGTCATGCTCCCCTCCATCGGGCGCACACACGGCTCCCGATGCGCCACTGACACGGAAGCGAGAAACATATCCCCGTCATTGAGTCGTGAGTCACAAGTGCCTACCCTCCTTGCTGCACGGCCATTTCCTCGTCGGCTGCTGCCGGACCAGCGGGCGGGCCGGGCGGGAGGAACTGTGGTGGCTGCAGCTGGCCTGTTGCGCTGCCTCTGCGAGCGCGTGTGATGCCCTTCTCGGCCGCAAAGTCTCGCTGACGGCACTCCTCCACGAACACCTTGTTGCTGGGGTCTTCGTCGTCTTCCAAGGCACCGTCGGGAGGCGCATTGGCCTGAGATGGAGGACAGAAACGGGGCAATGCGCTTGTGGAATCATCCTCTTGTGCTTCAATCGATCCAGCAGCAGCACCACCACCACCAGCAGCAGCAGCGGCAGCAGCAAGAGGGGGCGACGGAGCATCAAACAATGGAGGGGCTTCAATAGCTGCACACACAAAACACATGTCTGACTGTGGCAAGTGACATGTAGCCTCACCGTTGGAATCCTCTCTTGGAATCCTCTCTTGCGTTGGGAGCTGCCAATCCGTCTTGTGGTGTGTGAGCAGGTCGCTCTCCATCGCCCTCATCCATCATACGATCTGCACAGCATAACATTGAACACTTCTTCTCCGTCGCTCGCAGCCGCAACAATGATGCAGCTCACAGACGGCTTCGTGTGTGGCTTACCACCGCGGTTGTCGCCTCGAGGAGGCTCATTTCCACCACCAGCTGATTCAACAGACGGCCTAGCAGCCCTGGTAAGAGAACTGACAGCAGACAGCACAAATGGGTGCACTTCGCGGCCTATCATGCGTTGCCTTGTGAGTGTAATGCATACGTGCAGAAGACGTCCGCGACGCCCGCAGCCACCTCCTCCCAGATTGGCTGCTGCACCTTTGTGGGGATGGGGTGTGATGCGGTCGAGGAAAAACACAGAGCGAACTCGTCCAGTGCGTCCCCAAGCTTGCGCCCTCTGGGGTCGGGCGAGATACTCTGACACAGGTTGTCGTAGGCGTCTTTTGTAGCCTTGTACTTGTCGCCAAGGTGGTCGATCTGATCCTGCATCCAGTTGAGGAGGTCCATGATCATGTCGTGGCCCCACGCCAGGATGTCGGTCTTCCTCTCGTTGATGGCGGTCCGGTTGTCGTGTATGGCCTTCATGATGGTGGGCAGGTGATGCTGAATGGCCTGGAAGACGAGCTGCTCGCGTGGGGGCCCGCTGCTGCTGTGCACTCGGAGTGTCTCTGTCACACCAGACAGGCCGAGAAGCTCCACCAAGATCTCCTTGTCAGATGCGCTCTGCATACACGCGCAAGAAGCAACAGTCATACAGCAAAAGGCGAAAAGCAGTACATGACCGTACCTTTCGTTTCCGATCGTTTCCGTCCCCTCTGTTTGTCCACGCCTCCCGACGTACCACTGACAGACAGGGGAAAACCAGACGCAAAAAGATGGTCACACCTGTCTCCCGATCATGGATGAGGAGCCTCACTATTCTTGATCGTCCTCGAATGCAGCCGGACCACCATTCCGATGCAGCTCGGGGGGTCGAGTGACCTGTCTGTTTCGATTCTGGTTCTCCTCATTCTTCTCATTGTTTTCCTCTCCTCGCACGCTGTCTTGCACACCTCCCAATGCGGCCCTGACAGACACACAGACACACAGAGAAGATGACATGTCCACGATTGTGGCGCTCGCTCGTCTTACCTGTCTGGAGTGTCGGAAACCGCTTTCTCGACTGCTGCACCGCCGTCGGCGGCCGCATGCGCGTCGGATTGCTGTTCGCCTGGTGGGTGATGGCCGAGCGGATCTGGTGTGTCTACCTGTGGTGCTGACGAGGAACCCTGAACCGTGGGAAAGCCAGCAATGATGGGTGCATCTGATCCTGTGCGCTGCATCATTGTACCTGTGCTCTAGCTTTCCGCTCTTCATATCGCTTCTTGACAGCCTTCGCCCACGTGTCACTGCCCTGATCGCCACACACATACACACACACAAACACACACAGGAACTGAGAGGGGGCAGCCTCGCTCTTAGCTAACTCTCGCTGACCTTGAAGCCAGATACTTGAAGACGCGAAGCGATCTCCTTGCCCTCCTCCCATATGTCAGCTGGTCCGATGCTCGCCACATCCTCTTGGCCATCCATCCACTGAAAAATCTCCTCCTCAATTGACTGAAAACGGGGCTTCCGATTCCGCATCTTGTTCCCAGGCGGCGGCGTTTCGCCTGACTCTCGCTGGTCCTTGACCGCCTTGTAGATGTCCCTGAAGCGCTCATAACCCAATCCACACTCCACTCCATATCTTCTTTTGGAAATCCCCTCTTCTTTCTGTCGATGCTCAAATTCATCGACGAGCTCCTCAGAGACCACGTCAGCTCGCCGCCCCGAGCAGCTCTCGTGCTGGCTGCATCACTGCTCGGCGCGCCGAGTGGTGTTGGAAGCGGTGAAAGCGATGCGGCCGATGCATCGGCGAGTGGAGATTGGTGGTGGAGTGGAGGCGGGCGTCCAGCCGGCGAGGAAGGAGAGAGAGCGAGGGGGCCAGCCACAGCGGCCTGGGCGGCAAGAAGTAGGTAATGCAGCAAGACGTCTGTGGGCAACGCTGGCTGAGTGCCTTACCTTTGAGCCACGATCGGCTCCTTCGCCGCTCAACACTGCCATCAGTGATCGAACCTGCACCACCAGGCTCACCCTCCCCACCACCCTCTCCCCCATGCTGCTGTTGCTGCTGCTGCTGCCGGTGTCGTGAGAAAGGCTCGTGGGACGCCTGCTGCTTCGCTGGCGCCCGCCCTCCCCCTCCACCTCCCCGGACACCACCCGCCGCTGGCAGCAGGAGTTGCGCAAGCGTCCCGTGAGGACCAACGATCTCGGGCTGTCCGCGTGCTGTATCAGCAGTGTGTGGAGCCGACATGATGAAGGGCCGCGAGCTGAGAGCAATACATCCATTTGGCGGAGAAGGAAGAATGGGCGGACTACAAAATGAAGAGTCATGAGTCACAAGGAATGCCGCTTTTGCAGTGGAAGTGGATGCCTGCTTGTTGTCCTCGAGATCTGCACACACCAAGGACAGCAGAAAAGGGGCACTTTCCGCCTGCGAGCTGAGATCGCGATCCACAACAATCCCGTGTCTCGAGAAAGGAGGGAAGAAATGAGCACGGCACGCGTGGAAGCACCTCCATCGCAGCCTTCATCTTCGACCGAGCCTGCTCCAGTGCGCGTGGAGATGCTGGACAGCCAACCGCGTACGACCAAGGAGGAGCGGAAGCATCGCCGGGAGTTTTTGCTGCTGCAGGCGTGTTTTATCGTGCTTGGCATAGGTTACCTGTTCCCCTTCAGCGCCCTATTCCAAGCCTACGGTGAGCCTCGAGCACAAGCAGACGTAGGCACTCATTGCAACGGTGGTGCGTGTGTGGTGCTGCAGACTACTGGCGATGGCTGTTTGAGCAGAACATTGAATTTGATCTCAATCTGGTGGGCAGCGAAAGGAAACCATGACGAGCTCACCGATCTGTGCTGAGAAAGGCTCGTGTTTGTGTTGTGTTCATTAGATGTTTTGGCTGGTCAACATTTTGTCGCTGTCGAGTGTGGTGCTCTTCTTCTCTCACTCCAGCATCACCAAACGCATCCTTGTCGGCTTTGTGGGACAGTTCATCTGTGAGCTGCGCCTGAAGTGACGAGCTAATGGATGCTCACATGAGCCCTTCCCTGTTTGCTGTGCAGGCATTTCTTTGCTGCCTTTCACTGCCCTCCTAAAGCCGGCTGGCCATCCGGCGGGCAACGCTCTCCTGGCCCTGCTTCTTACTCTTACCGGTGTGCTGTCGTTCATGACCGCATTACTTGACTCAGCCATCCTGGCCTTCGGCGCTCAGTTCTCCCAGGACATACAGCAGGCATTGCAGGTAGGGACAAGACACGCAGCAGAGACGGTGCTCGACTCGATCATCGATGGCCCACTGTGTCATTCATGTTTCCTTAATTGTCAGGTGGGTGTTGGCGTGTCGACTCTCATCGGTGCCATCTATCGAGACGTCACCAAGGCGTGCTTCTCGCGAGATGAGGGGCTGGTCGCGTCAACCATCCTCAACTTCGCCATCGGAAGCGCCACTCTGATGGGGTGCACGGCGCTGTTTGTGGCTCTGATTCGGTCGGACCTGTACCACAAACATCAGCTGAGAAACAGACGGAAGAGAAAGGTGGACGAGGAGGGGGGCGACCGCATCGACGCCATCATCCCTATTAACGGCAGCTCCGTCCATACCGATAGCACCTCGTCCACAAACTTCTCGCTGGATGTGACGCCATCTAGTGAGTCTGAGGTGCGTTGGCAGACGCGAACAGCCACCACTCCCTCCCTTGTATGTCACTGTCTCGTCTTGCTGTGTACAGAGCGGCCTGAGCGCATCACTGCTTGAGAACTCCGACCAGCCGTATTTCGCGTTCTCTCGTCAGTCCCAGCGGAGCACGTCATCTGGCGAGGAGACGGGTACAGCCCGCCGGGCGGACAGCACCGACAGCTGGAGCGGCCCGCAGCCGCCAAAGGCATCCATCGCCATGAAAGTGGGGCCGCACCTGTGTGTGCTGATGCTGATCTTCGTCGTATCGTTCGGTCTCTTCCCTGCACTGGTGGGCTGCGTCCACATGTTTGTATTCATCCTGATTGTGCGGCTGGTTCTTCATGTGTGTTTGTGGGTTTCGTTCATCAGATCACAACGATTCCTGCATACAGCACGCTGCTCAAACCTCTCAATAAGAGCCAGTGGTACGCATGTCCCACACGAGATGCCATAGCGGCCGCCCATCTGCGTGTGCGCCCCTGTGTGTGTGCAGGTATCAGCTGCTGCAGCTGACGTGGTTTGCCGTCTGCGACACAATCGGTCGGTTCCTGTGTCACATTCGGTTTGGCCTGACCCTCAAGACGATGCCAATCGTCGTGTTGGCTCGGTTCGCCCTCTACCCCCTCATGATTGCGCTCGCCACTGGTCGGCTGGCGAGCGACCTATTGACCACTTTGTCGGTGGCCATTTTGGGCTTTACGAACGGACATACCACCTCGCTGATCATTATTCTGGTGCGGCAAGTGGGAGGGCAGGGCACATGCGTGGCATAGATGTGCGTGAATGAATGGATGGATGTGTGACGCAGATAACGGAGTTTTGCTCTCCCAAGGAGCGGCAGTATGCGGCCACCCTGCAGGTACTTTCTGTCTGCCGCACACATGCCACCGACCGATTGAGCCATCATCAGCTCTTTCGTCAGCTCTTTCGTTTCTTGCCTGTCTTTGGTTGTTGCCTTGCAGAGTTTTTCTTTGAATGCTGGTCTGTTGGGTGGGTCTGTCGTCGGTTTTGTTGTGGCAGGACTGACGGGCATCGCGAACTGACCACTTTTTGCCTGCTCGTGCTGCTGCGCTAGTCGCACACAGAAGATGTCTTTGTTCGTTTGTTTGTTTGCTAGTGGAGGGGGGGGAAGGGACCAGCTATTGCTGTTGGTAGTGGTAGTGTGTTTGCAGGGTGTGCACCGCCTTTTGTCGAATTGTGGATAGGCGTGACGATGGAAGCGGAATTTGACTTTCACGACCCCCCCAAAAGCACCAGCTGGGGGAGTGCTCTACGGTACTTCGTGTGTTCGCCCGATCGGTTCTTCCGGGGTTGCCAATCGACCGACGTAAAAAAAAAACCACCGAAAAAAACGGAAACACAAAAACGGATAAGACGCCAGAAAAGCGCATGCAGCCCCCAGCCCCCCTTCAAAATCAGTCCCAGCGTGAAGGAGGAGCAGCGTCGGAGGTCTCATGAAGGCCCCTCACGTACAACGGCGAACAGAACTCGGGTGAGAAACACACAGCATGGCGATACAAAGCAACCTCGTCATCAGATCAATAGCCAGAGAGCGTTGGAGGTGACAGGACAGCCAGCCTCTTGAGTAGCCAGAGCAGCGTCAGGTGAGAGGATGATTACTAAGGTATTGCCTGTGAT